CAACACCACGAAGCTGCTCTCGATTCTCTGACAGGTTTTGTCGGCCACAGGTGACAAGATAGGTATTGAGCCCCTCACACCCCACGCCCCCATGCGGTCAGGTTGGTTCGCTTAATTCACTGTTGGGGGTGAATCTATCTGCCGTGGGACAAGTCGACGCCCTCGCCGCCAAGCGACTAGAAGACATGACCATGGAGGAGCATCCTCAGCTAGGCCGCGCCGAAAAGGCCCTGTCGTTTTTGCTAAGATTTGCAGTGGACTCGCACCTGGATTGCTCTGGGGAAAGCATCGCTGACTGGCTGGCGCCCGCAGATGGAGACGTGTAAGTACGCCCCTCGTTTACTTTCTGAGACAAAGTAGGATACGGTCATGTTGGCAATGAATTGCTGTATTGCTCTTGTCTTAGGATGTTCTGGGTGCACTGTATTTGTGTTGGTGTGTTACTTGGGCAGGTTGGTACGTGAACGAGCCAGACAGGCATGCGCTGATTGGCCGACTTCAAACGGTTGGGGGTTGAGGGCGATGCAAGGCTCGTGCACGCGAAACATCTCAGGCGCTTTCCGGCTACGGGAATCACGCGTCGTCAATAGCTTCAAGCTTGTCTATGTAGATAACGAAAATGAATAGCATGATCTCGACGTCTTCTCCTTTTGAGGTGGTCTTTTCCGCTTGTCCCCCGCTTCCCTTGGCTTGCTCGCCTCTCAAACTTCTGCGGTTATCTGGGTCGCTCGTTGCCATAAAGGTGGCTGAAGGAGCAGTTGTTGGGCCCTGGGTGGGCTTCGAGAGCCGTGGAAGAGATGCAAAAGTGGTTGGCCGATGGGGATGACGGGGTGAGTGTGGCGCCAATATCCAGCCCACCTTTGGTGTGCGGCGGACGCAATCCCTTCGCCGCTGTTTATGTCGATGAATCGAGAAACCATTCCCGCTGAGAGATACACCCGCTGAAGACTTTCTCGGAAGAATCAGTCTCAGATATCATACTCCGCATGCATAAAAAGACCGCGGTTCAATGACGTGGATGGATGACGTGAATGCACAAAGTTGGTCCTACCTGACTAAGAACATTACTCGTTTTGATGTCAATTCACTCACGCCACTGGCTGCCACGAATAAACCCACGCCATTTTTGGGCAATCCAGGGGCAACAGGGTGAATCGTGGTACTCAACTGGGATGCAAGAACGATCCTGACGTAGGATGCCTTCCACCATCCCGGAACGCCACCTTGGGTTAGAACACTTGTCATCACTACTCATTATTCATTCGGTGTCACCACTGCTCACTTCACTCACCCATGAAGGTGATCCCAAGCTTCAGAGACGCCGCCGCCGCCGCGTTCGGGGAGAGGTGGAGAAGCACGCCTGCGGGATGGTTCGATCCTGGGGGCGACATGCCTTCATTCGTCGCCGCCGATCTCAACGATGAGGGAAGCGAGAGTGATGGCGACCACAACAACGGCAATGAAAATGGCAGCAATAGGAGCGGCAACCGAGGCGGCACACGCAGACATCTCGCCCGCCCCCGTGGCACGACGCCAACAACGTTCGGAGGAAGAGTGCACGAGCAAGAAAGGGGGGGTGCAGGACCGACAGGAAACAAAACCGAGACCATGTCCGTCGTCCTGACTACCCCACCCCGGACGGTATCTACAACGACTGTGACTGCAGAGACCGCGGGTGGCGATAGTGGGGATAACGGTCGCCGAAGTAAGGTGGCAATGGCACCGTCTTCCGAGCCTTCTGGCAGCAACAAGATCGGCGGTGGCAGCAACAAGACCGCCGGTGGCGGCGGCGGCAGAGGAGACAGCGGCGGCGGCAGAGGAGACGGTGGCGGCGGCAGAGGAGGTGTGGACAGAGGCGGCACAGGCGGCGATGCTAATGGTAGCATGACGCGACGACCGCACACCACTGAGAGGAATAACGCGAAGGACCTGGCGCAGTACCTGGGGGTTAGCGACGAAGAAAGCCACGAAGGAATTGGCGGCAAGACGGGACGTGAAGAAGGAAGGGGGGCAAGAGGGAGAGGGAAGGAGTGCGTGGACGGCCAGGAGCTGGCACAGATGGACGGGGTACACGAAGAAGGAGGGGGTGCCGAGAGCGAACAGGTACGGGGAGGGGGAGGCATCCATCTACCGCAATCGCAGTAGGCCTACCCGACACTCGGTTAAAGCGTCCTTCACGCCGACACCGAGAATGGTAAGGGGACATCGGAAAACAAACATTTCCCTGCTACCAAAGCAATTTAACAATGTGTTAGCACCTAGAAGGGTCGGGACTACATGCGGAGGGCGGGACGTTCGTCCTGAACGGCGCGGTGCATCCGTTTGAAGTGAATATTCTTCGTATCAGACGTTTGTTGGGTGCGGATTTCGTAGCATTAGTTGCAACTGCCCGCTTATGTGCAATAAGGTTATTAACGAAACAGTTTCGCTTCCGTGATCAGGAATGTGATCTACACACACCGTCGCCCATACGTACACGCGACATTCGCTTGAATATGTCCTAACCTGCGGTCGTCGTACATCACAGTCTTCACGAGCACCATATCCGCCAAAAATTTACTGCATGCCACAACAGCACCTACCATGACGACAACAACCAAGCAACATGAACGACAACCGCGACAGCGATATCGACGATGTAATCACAGTAGTATCACCGATGTGTCACCGTCCCCTTGAACAGCCACACGGAAACGAAGACAAGATCGAGCAAGAAGGTGTCCCGGACCTGGAGGACGTGTTCGTGGAAGCGGGTGCTTTGGGAGGCATGAAGGCCGCCCTGGAAAAGGCCAAAGCGCTAAAGGCGATGCTCGCCTCTGGCCTCCCGTCGAAGGTTCGTCCCCCCTCCCGCATACTTGACCAAGATCAGTCTGCGTTGTCGCAGACCGATGCAGCGTTGTCAGGAATGTGCGCTGGTGTACCCTCGAGAAACACGACGCTCACAATTTCCTGCTACACCTTGCCCCCTCAGATTGAAGAAGACATCCGGAAGGAGCTCGAGGTGGTCGAGGAGAAAGCGAGAGGAATAGACGAGCGCCTGCAGGTAAACGTCGGTATGATGGGTTCCGTCGCAGATCTTGCACTATTTCTTCCACAATACTCACCTGCAACACACCGTTGTTGGCGACACCACCAGTGAATGCCTGGGCAGCATTGGGAAGACAGTGTGCCAAGGCCTTCCAGAAATGATGCATGCTTTGTCTAGCCCTACTGTGTGTTTTTCCTGTCTCGAGGGGAAAATGGATATATCTACAGCGTATCGTCCCAGGTCGTGTGGCAGTCTGCGTCGTCCTCTTGTTTCACCTGCTGCGGGGCAACGCTCACTCCTTCCTTTCACGAACGATTTTTTTGTCACGGGAATGTGGGACAGGAGCTGCCAAGGTGCGTATTCGGCTTCGATAATATCTTGCGGCATGTAGCAGTCCCAAAGAGCACTGCCCCGCAGCCCCCCAAAAAATTCCGTTTACGAGCCATCTCATTTTGTTCCAAGATAAAACTCGAGATCTCCGTTGTCTTCCAAATCGACCAAACCGCTATAATAGCTCCGTAGCATCCCGAGGTGACTGAGCTTCCGCCCCTCCCGACCATCTTTAGATACTCCGCATTGCCAGTTGCCAATCGAGCGAGGAATGACAACCTGATCGAAACATGGAAGGTTAGGTTTCCATTGCTTGGTGTACGATGAACCGTCCGTTGTCCGATTAGGCTGCCACTGCTACGGCAATCGCCAGGGGGCTGAGGGCTTACGACGCCGCTCGCGCTCGTCTAGAAGGAGTGGCGACACTAGGACTCGGTACCCGAAAGGTACGATGTAATGTTACGGTGTCAACAAGAAGGATTTCTCGTAATGATTGGCTACACTAGTCAGCGAGATACGTTTTGACGTCCAGATGTCAGCTGAGATGGGCTATGAGATGTTTTGTAGCTGTGTGAGAAATCGCTCCCCGCTAGACCTGCTTTCGTCGGGCAAATACTCTACAGCCATGAGGGTACGAAAACAGGCGCGATAGGCCCCAGGGACGTCCTCGAGATCCATAACGCCCGTTTCGGCAGTGGTACCCTTTCGGTTTGGGACAATCTAGCATTGAAGTTTTGGCGAAGGGAGGTGGGATCACTGGCAACATTGCGAAAACTTGGTGCCTCCATCGGTGGGAATGGTGGCTGCTGGTGTCATTTGCCCTTCACACAACACGAGTGAACTATTTGCCTGTTCTTCTTCCCCCGCGTCCGTAGCCCTATGAGGCAGTGACCGCCAAGCACGATGCCAGAGCCCCTGAGACATATTGAACACCCCGAAATTTCTCGCGGACTCATCCTTGAATCTAATCTCAAGGAGCCTCAGCTTCCACGCTACGACCTCGACGGGTGTTCAGCCCATCCTTCCACTTCTTCCGCGCGTCCTCCTCCCTCTCCAGTTCACCGCGTAGCCGCTTCCCCTCACCCCCCTCCGAAACTTTTCCGGTGCGTCGGTCACACCTCCGACCCGCCGATCAAGGTTACAGCGCGGCTTCAGGTGACAGGGTTTCCCATTTTTTCGCTTCTTCCGGCGGGGATGGGAGAGCCGATGGCCGGGCGTCTCGAAGAAGAGGCCCGCGAGGCGCGAGCCGAGACTCGTCGGAGGGTGGCGCTGGACGAAATCGATCGGGCCAAGGACCGTCAGGCGAGTCGGGCGCTCTGAGACGAACAGCCACGAAGACATGAAAAGTTGTCGGTATTCCTTCTTTCCGAGTACGGGCAAGAGGTTTCATTGATACAGTACGAACAAAATCCGGAAGGCGAGCATCAGCTGGAGAGGAACCCGTCAGCCGTTCTTATCCCCCTCAACACAGAGTTCTCGGTCGTTCCAGCAGTTATGTCGACAATCCCAGCGCATCGTCCGGGCGGAGAAATACCGCGCGTGAGTATCCCGAAAACGTAGCTGCCCCCCCAGCAAAACGAGGACCAATACTGTTGAATATGCAGCATATGTCTACTTTCTCAAAGCGAGAAGAATCACACGTATGCTATCTGCCTTGATTCCTTGGATGTCTGGGTTCGTACTGCAGAGGCGTGAGGAGGAGGAGAGGGAAAGAAAGCACCTGGAAAAGCTGCGGCTGAAGGAAGAGGAGAAGATGAAAGAGGAAGTGGACCTCTACGAAAGAGGGCTCAGCGCCAGGTACGGGAGCACTAGGCCTAGCGTCGAAGACTGGGTTAGACGTGTCTATTATGAACCCTTCCCTTTTTCTTCATCGTCTCGACAAGTGTTATTGATAATTCCTTTGGGCACCATTCCGTCTTCTACCCTTTTCTCATGATATTCTCATGCGATGCTACCACATCTCGTCCTGTTCAAATGTTCACTCCATGTTTTTCTGTATTATCGTGTTTGCCGTAGCAGCCACCCCATGCCTTTCAGATCCCACGGAACGGTTTCCGCCACCTTTCGTATTTTCTCGTGGGCCAAGCCTTGTCTGTGAAAACGAGCAAAGCGAACAGAATAGAACAAAGAAGGCGAGAAACATGCAGAAAGGCGGGGTTGTTCCGCAATGACAGAGCAAACCGGAACACGGAAATGTTCGGAGAAAAAAAGTAGAGACACAAACAAACAATCAACAATCAACAAACAGGCAGCGGGCAGCCACCCGGGAGAGCGAGAAGGCTGAGGCAGAGAAGCACTGGAGACGCCTGGTCGCGATAAGGCAGAGACGCCGGAAGGGCACTGCCGGAGCCGCGGCGGCTGTGAACAACCTCGGTGTGCTTCTCGTGGACCAGTCGGAGCGGGACTCCGTCCACGCAGCGGAAGGGCGCATGCTTCTCCAGGTGCGACACGCCTTAACAACTGCGGAATATGCTTGCGTGTAACGTACCGGCTGAAAGGTTGGGTGTCCGGCATGAAGCGCCTGCCGAGTATCCCGTTCGGCTTTTAGGGCGATGTAGCCAAAGGGTGTACGTGGTCGGCCCTACCAGACCATCCGGCTGTGGGACGCTGTTCCTTACCAGGAAACTGAGATGACGGCGCCTCACTTTGCCCTGGCGCAGGCTGCCGTGGCAATGGCGGAAGCGGGCGCAAGAACCCCCAGCCACCCAGCAAGCGAGATCAAAGCCGGGCCTTCAACACCACCGTCTTCGGCGATGACGACGCCCAAACCAACCGCTCCAAGCAGCGCAGACCCGCCTCAAGCCGTAGCAGAGGCGGCGACGGCTGCGGCCGAAGGTCATGCACAGACAGACAGGCACGGCGAGAGCGAGAACAGCGAGAGCGGAAAGGATCTGCTTGTGCCAGGAGGAAAAGAGGAGTGGGAGATGCTCCTCGCACTGTTCAGCAGCAACCTCAGCTTCGCGACCGAGGGTCCCGGGCGCAACTACGACCACAACGACGAGGATCAGGACGTGGGCGTCGGCGAGAACGGTAGAGGAAACGGAAATGGAGCCAACAAGGAGGAGGGGGACGACGAGGTCGGCAACGAATCGCGGGGACAGGGTGGGAGCAATGTGAAAAATAGGTGAGCACAGGCGTCAGAAGAATCATGTTGTTTCGTCGACAATCTATCCGTCGCTGGAAGAGATAGATGGTGCATGAGGTTTTTCTTTCGAAATCCACCTCGTCAACGCCTTAGAAATTGGTATGGACGGGGTTCGCGAGGTCTACGACGATGTAGTATTTCATGACGCACTTAAGTTCGGGAAACTCCAGGGCATGGGTCCGGGTTTGTTCCTCAAGTTCAGCAGCGTGTATCGCTCGCGCATGGCGATATTTCAGTCGAAACACACAGGAACTAGATGGTGTAAATTCATCATTTGCTGAACTAGCGGTCAGGTCTGACTCATGCCTCCATTTTCCTATCCTCCCCTTCCTCCATCTCCTCTGCGTCCCCTCCCCGGAACGCCAAACAACCAGGTGTGTCGCTCTGTTCGAAGGCCTGTCTCCAGCCGCGAGCGTGGCTGCCTCTGGCCCCTCCGACTCCTGGGAGTGCCTCGGCGTCGGGGTGACTCTCTTCGAGCGGGAGGGTCCGTTCTGGTGGGAGCGAGAGCACCTGGAAGACGACGAGGAGAGGAAGCAGGCCCTCGCCGCGCATAAGCTCAAGAAGCCCGAGGAGGGGAGGGGGGGAGAGGACGGTCACCTTAACGACACGCGCAGGTGAGACTTTTCGTGGATTTGTGGCAGTTGATCTGGTCGGCCTGTCAATTCGTTCTGTCGCCCCGGTGGTGACATGTGGCATACCACGCACGCATATTGACGGCCCTGGGCTACCCCAGCCGGGATAAGAGCGAGACGGAAAACTGATTGTTGGGCGGGATTCATTTTCCTTCCGACGTTCCGTTCGATTGCTGAGACTCGCGGTTCGAAGCTTCCACTAGCTGAATGACCGATCCGGGGTCTAGCAGAAAAATGTCCTCTGCGCTGCCATAAGGTTGTGATGTTGCGCTTAATAAGATTCACATTTCCAACCCTCAAGCCTTCTCAACAAGATCATTCTAGCTCAACTTCCGGAATCCGTTGAAACCCCTCTTGAAACCTCAGGCCACCAGACCACAGGGTGACCGGTTGCAGCTTGATGTCCACGGAACGTTTCTACGCAGGTCCAACTCTGACAATAGACCAACCGTTCGGCCTGTGGTTCGACACGAACACCGTGATGTCACATTGTTTCACCAAGAAACTTAAGCTATGTGCACGTCATCGTGGTTTGACGCACACCTGACATCGAACTGAGGGTCAAGAATGGTTTTCGCGAGCCACTGACCACTCAACGGGATTCGCAGAAACTTCGACGACGAGGTGTGGCTAGGCTGTCAGTCTTCTGTATCTCATGTGCGGTTGATTGACAATGGGATCGATCTCTTTCTCAACGATGGCAACCGAACTGGCAGGGAGGCTGTGGTGCGAAACCGTCAGGCCGCTGATGACGGAGGAACGGGGGGAGGCTACACTGACCTGGAGGTATTGGACGTGATCGACCCCGGGCGAGCGGCGAGGATTCGGATCCGGCAGACCAGGTTCGTGAGAAGGACGAACGGTGCGCATTGTTCCGGGCGTCCACGTCCATAGTGGAGGGCTTCCAACGTTTTTTTGCTTCGTAGGCGAACTGTGTTCGTTCATTGTGTCGCCACATTGGACCATAAAAGTGGGGTTTGTTCTTGTTGTATCCGTGCCATACAACGTTCAACCAACCAGTAAGCCGCGATTTTCTCCAACTCCGGCCCGGGCCCTTCACTGGTGCAACCCCCCGCGTCGAGCAAACCTTCGCCAGGCATGCTTTCCTGTATGAGTAGCCAGAGATCAGTGCGTATCTCCACAACGGTACGATGTGCCGTTGGTTGTACGCCTATTGGATTGGACGAGGGCTCGTGCGACGGCCAGGTCACCAATACTGCCGCTCGTCCTCGAGTGGGAAAAGACCTGTGTAGATCGCCGACCCGTTTCCGAGCTGCCTCGCCCGACGTTCCTTAATACTCTGCACTGTACCTTGAAGGGACACCCTCCACTCCCTCAAGTCGGCAAAACGATCCGAGCGGTTGGGAGCTGAAGCAAGAACTTTTTTTCTCTGAAGGCTGGGAAGTGCGGGATCGAGGAGCAGTTCTCGATAGCCGCCACGGAAACCACTGCTTCCTTTGGCTTGCCTCGAGAATTGTGCGCCCAACTCAGCTCAACTGTTTCCGGGAGCGAAATAGCGGCCCGGACATATGGTCGCTTCTTCCGTCAAGAGATAATACTCTCACCGTTGGCTCCAATGCGTGCGGTTGGGCCAGAATGGTAGCGTATGCCCGCATCTGTGAAGCACGTGTTCCTGCTGCCGCTACTGTTGAGCCTCCTCTAAGTCGAGGAAGAGCTTCGACAGCGTCTTGATGCAGGACCACCATCGCACGTGTGCCTCATGCTATTCAGGGCCTTCTGGCCCGGAGTGTCTTGCCTTTCCCCTCCCCCGTCCCGCGATGTACCTCCCCCGCATTTCAGCAGAGGAGCATACGGAGCACATGCGGCCGTGTCCCTTCCTGATACACCGCAACATATTCGGAGCGTACTTATCGCCCTATTCCTATCCCGAGGGCTCCACCATTCTCTTCTTGCTTAGACCAAACTACTCCGTCGTTGTCTACCAACCAACACACGAACGTTAATCTTTCCTCAGGTGCTACCTTCCCTCCCGTTTTCTAGCCTCCGATCATCATCTGTGCTACTGTACCTTTCCTGCCCTTCAACTCGGTACGCGTCCCAAACAAATAATCACTGACACCTCTGCCACGAACAACAACGTCTTTTAGGCAAAAAGCCCAGCAAGAGAGACGACAGGTACTGCTGGAACGCCGCAAGAAATACAAGCGCCAGCTGCGTCAGCAGGATAAGGAAGCGGAGGCAGCGCGCGCGGCTTCGGCGCAGGCCCGTAAGGCCTACCACGAGAGGGAGGTGGCCGCACGACGGCTGAAGAAAGAGGCCGACGAGAGGGCGAATCGAAGGCAAGACTCCTATTTTCTGTTGGTATCGATGGATAGGTGGCCTCAAAAAGATGCAAACCGCCGGCATCCGCTACCCTTTTACAAACAAGCGTGAGAAGACGAGGACCACAACACCTGAAAGGCGATTGCCGACGGCATATTTGCATAGAAATTCGCTGGGGAATTAGACTAGACTACAAACTTTCGGATACTACAGCGTTTAAACAGGTCTCATACCATCGCTTCCCGAAACACGCGCGGGGATCAGAAGCACCGACGATACATGTTCTTTCCATGTATGTTTGTGGTACGACATGTGTGCGTGCTATTTTACCCATGTGTTTCCATCCAGTAAGACCGCTCTCCTCGCCCCTGGTGCAGTTCCTCCCTGTGCCCCGCGCTTCTCTGACCTGCGGCCACAGGGATAGGCGTAGCAATGCAAGTCACGTTCGTTCATACCTTGAAACGCCTGACGATAGTCCCGTTCACAAGGCATCCTGTTTGGTTCGGGCGTCGAACAGTCTTGTTGGATAAGCCGCGACCCCTCGTTGTGCCCAACCTACTATCAGGAGGACGGGGCGCTACGTGCGGGCAGCGGGGGCCGTGAAGACGCTACGAGCGAGAGCTTTTGGTGGAGAAGGTGCAGGGCAATCGGCGGGGGCGGCGATAGGACTCGTAGCCCGGCGGGTAGCCAAGAGCCTGACGAACAAGATGAATGGTTGGGGCGCAGACGGCGCCGAAGGTAAGCGGGAGCGAGAGAAACAGACAGGCCCTTGAGGCTGAGACAAGAGGACAAAGAGAAGAAACAATCGCGGTTGTGTACACGCGCGCTGGCGAGAGAGAGAGAGATAGAAAGTCAGAGAGACAAAGACAGACAGACAGACAGAAACACTTAGAACACCGAATCTTTCACATTAGGACTCGCTTGATTGACTACCTCCCTTTGGTATGTTAGTGACATGCGTTCAGCAAATGTTTTCGCTTGGTTCGAGGAACCGTTCGATCTGTGGTTCAGGATAGCATGTTCCATCGACCGCACCCACCGTACATTGCGTACCCGTGGTATACGTTGTACTCTCTAGGGGGGCTGCATTCGAAATGTATAGGCTTCTTCCTTGTTTTTTCTTTGTCGAAACAAACAGTCGTTTCCATTGGGGTACGGTGAACCAGGACAGGTTCTTGCTGGCAATCCCGTGTGATTTTTCATGAGCGTTGCGGCGAAACAGTATGGATGCATTCACAATTCACAACCGAGGATACAACCGTCGCGGTCACACCTTGCCAACCACCATGACTTCCATGTAATTGTAAAATGTCGTACCGGGGTCTTTTCCGCCTTGCTGGTGCCCCAAACCACATTTTTCTCTTTCCCATCCAACGTCGTCTAGCGCGTAGAGTGAGTTTCCTTCATCACGTCGGAGTACAAAATGAAACAACTTCACGTTTCCGTGCAAAAAAAACTGGTCCAAGCAACCAACCCTCGTCCCGCATGGCATGTTCTCGTAATCAGGTGACGAAGGGAGTCACCGGACTGCGGGGGGCGAGAACAATGAGGCGCCCGTGGTGGACCCGATTGCGGTGGCAGCGGCGGCGAGAGCGGCGGCACGGGCGGCCGTGCGGCAGGGGGGGGCCGCGAGAGCGAAGTCAGCCGGTGGCGTGAGCAGCAGGAAAAAAATCGCAGTGGAGAGAACGCCCAACCCGTAAATCGTTTATTGCCGCAAGACCGTGTCTGGTTCACAGGAAAACTGTGCGTCCTGGCCTGTGTTGAGTGCTGTGGTGGTGCGGATTGTTGCAGAGGAGAACATTTTCACTGCACGACAACGGGAAAAGCTCGTATCTCGGGTTTGTATTCGCGCAGGAAAGATATCCTATTGTGATTCTGCAGCAAAAACAAATCGATCGAGTCACAGGGAGCTGTGTGAGATTGTCGCTGACAAGAACGAAGTATGGCACTTGCCCTGTCCGTGTGAAATCTACAGCGTTATCGAGGAATGTTTCATTGGATATTCCGCGCTAGAACATCCGCAGAAACATCCTGGAATATTTCAAAAACACAGCTTCGACGGGGATGTGCACAAGTCCGCTGTCCTATGGTCATTGGCAGCACGATTCTGTGTTGCTCTTCGTTCACTCCATTCATTTGCGTAGTAATCTCGAAACATTCGTATTTATGCGGGACGCCCGCCAACCTGTCACGAAATGGCACCATTACCACTCACAGTGAAAAATATGGCGGGTCTACTGTGTGTTTCCCGAAAATGAGGGCATATTCGTTCATTCCCGAAATACAGGTATTGATGCAGATGTAGACATTGATAGCACTAGTCAAACCATGGAATCGTCATCAGTTAATGTCCGTCAACCCACGCGGCGACTGAATCCTAGTCATTGTCCCACCTGTATTGTAGCAGCATGTAACAACATCACCTCTGCATGGAGTGCTACAAGAAATCTTGTATGGTGATCGACGATTCAACCATCGCCAATGATTCTGGCTCGGTTCATGGTTGTGAGTAAGTTTGGGAGGGTGTATTTGCTTGCAGAGTAAGCGAGACAGCTTAAAATATTGAGTCATAGGAAGGAAGATATCTGAAACAAAATGAATGCTTTCACAACTACTAACGTACAATCAGAAAAATGAACAATGTTTTCTCGTTTCCTTTTCAGCAACGCTTTTATTTTGTTGGTCCTTGTTCGAAACCGTCGATAAAACGTGTTGTTTTGATTGTGTCTCTGTCCGAGTCCCACCCTCGTTCATTTCGTTTATGTTCCACAGTTGTGAAATGTGCGATTCATTTTTTCTCCTTCCTACGGCTGGTATGCTTTTTGCTCTCTAGTTCGCCCTGCCAAATTGCGCGCCCTCCCCATCAGCCTCCTCTCGTGGGTTTTCGTCGCTTGGCAACAGCGTTGTATCTAACATTCAGATCGCTTCCTGAACTCGTTGACGAGGATACCGCTTGTTTTTGTATATTTTATCTTTCTGCGGTAAGCAGGATGGTGTTCGAGTAGATCATGCTGTACGGAGTCGAGAACCCCCGATCCGCGCAAAGGGGATGATCGGATCGCATTGTAGTCATTGGTCAAGCACCCTCGAGGTAGATATACGGTGTAATGACTGTCTTTTCTGAAAGTGAAACCACATGAGAAGATTTCATTTGCGGCTGTCATCCGTAGCAAAAGTGAATGCAGGCAACGATGCAGAACATTCACAAAGTGAAGTTCACACTCCGTGCGACTCGCCGAATACATCGCCACGGCGCTTCGCGCTTGGTGATGTAAGAGCCTGGTCCGGTGAGAACACGGCATGCTCCGCCCCGACTTTGTAAGGACGCGAGGTCATTGGTCAAACGACTACGCCATGCAAGACTAAGTGTACCTTGTGAAAGCTCAATATTTTTTAGTTCATTCAATTGAGTAGACTCGGCGACCGGCTTTCATGACAGGGGAAGCGAACGCAATCCTTTGGACTATTGTCAATATCTTGCAACCCATGTATGAAGAGAACTGAGGATATATCACCCCAAAGCCCTTAAATGTGACGGCTCTCTGACGCTTTCATTTGGAAGGTGTTCGCGGTGCGAGCTCATCGAGTAAAATATTCATGGCGAAGGCGCCCCTACACAGACATGAGGCCTTCAGTATTCCCCTCATCCTTGCGAATACTTCGATCGACGTGATCGGGCACCGCGCGGGATATCGTACGACAGGAGAGTTGTGCGCCCTGCAGAGTACTATTCGGCATCTTGATGACTCGCCCTTTTCCTCCCAGCACCTTGCAATGTTTTGTCGCACATTTCACTCCATCATTTCCATATGTGGCAACAAAAAGGTGGAAGCTTCGACCCTGACCGGCATCGCCCAACCGGCCAAACATATTTGGCCATATCAGCTTCATCGGCACCGGTGCTGCCTTGACACTACTGTAGTAGGGGCACCGGGGGAACTTGACGTCTCTCTTAAAATGGCGCAGTGAGGTGGTTGCATGGTTGCGTGCGCGTAATTCCCCTACCTGCGGATCCTCACCCTCAAACACCTCTGAACTGTTGTCGAACAACAGTCACCGCCTGTGCTGCCGTGCGTCGGAGACAGTCGTCTTTCATGAATTGAGAAACGATCGTCAGCAGAGGCCCTTGCTGCTGTGCTTCGCAGCCGAAAACAAACCACGCAGAAAAAAACGATGAACCATGCAGACAGCAACAATAAACAAACCACGCAGACCACAACAATGAACAAACCATGCAGCCAGCAACAACAAACAAACCACAGGCAGCAACAATGTTCTTCTGAGGCGACCCACCGAGCCTAGCCGCGGGCCATCAACGTAAACATTATGTTCGTGATTGCGGAAGCGACGGTCAACTGAGGACAATAAACCCTCGACATGAACCACCTTGAAACGTCCAGGACATGCAAGCGGCGAGAAAACAATGGCGAGGGATTTTGGACGGCAGGTCGCCCTACAACGACACAACGACCTTTGCCGAGACAAAGACCAAGGTCAACAAAATGAAGACGAGGAGCGGTTGTTGGTTAGCAACACATCCTACGAGCGCCAGACTACCTGTACAATTCGCACCACACATCATCAAACACTTACAAAAACCTCACGGGCTGGTTTTTGTCGGGGTCCTGAACACGATATTAAGACAACAACAAGCGCCCGCTAGCTCGAGCTCTGCCGCAACCGTCCGCCGCGTTTAACGGTGCCAACGCGGGTCCTCCGGGCGGGATCTTTCTGGGGGCCCGGATGGCGAATTCATATTTCTCGTCTTCCTTCCCCTTCCTGGCCCAACCAAACACACAAGGAAATTACCGCAACGTCCTTTACTTACACCACACTCATTGGCCGGGGGGTAATCTCCGCCTCGCTCACACACGCAACACCAAAAGCAACTTTTTCGGCTTCAACTAACGGAGCGGTGGACGTTGATGCCGAATCGTGAGCTCGTCGAGGACCTGTCCACAACGGGCGTGGAGAGAAAGTGAGGGAAGGGCACCGCACGGATTGAGAAAAATGCTGTCTTCAGCCCGCTGGGGGGACTATCTTATCCCCTGTCATTCTCATGAGGCAGATGGCCTGAGCGGCGTCAACCACAAACATCAGGTCGGGATTGAAAGGCCAGACACCTGGTGACTACGTTATCAGAGGCGTGTGCTCCCGGTAGTCTCGGCTGGACGAACGTTTCTGCCACATGGCTGTCGATCGCCACGAACGTCCACCTTTCTATTTTCTCCCGTAATTGAGGGGCTGCGGGCCATCACCACGACCACAAAAGGAGCCGCTCCTAGCCAAACCATGCTAAAACAACGCAGAAGCAGCGGTCGCCTACATCGGCTAAGAAACACACGGAGCAACAAGACCGATCCACAGTCAACAACGCGTACACGGACATCGGAATCCGGACTACGTAGCCTAGCTTCCCCAGCCGCCTAGCTTCCCCAGCCGCCCGCCCCCCATCATGACTACTGGGAGAGGTTTCCGCCGTTGAACCGCACTGAAAGTGGCGCCATTTCATTGGGCAGCCGGCCAACACGGTTGATAATAAAGATATACAAGCACGATCTCAAACCGCACCGAGACTGACGTCTATTCGTTGGTCAGCCGGTTAGAGCGGTGCCAACGCTACGAAAAGACACACCTCTGCCGGGCTATCGCTCGTCACAAACGTCGATCGCATCTCCGCCTTGCTGGAGAACGTGAGGATGCCGACGCCTGGCACCATGCTCATCGCCACGGCGCGCCACGGCGGGAAGGACGCCGGGTACACCGGTTCCGGTTTCGTGAACCCCTGCTTGCGTGGGCACGCATGGCGACACCGGAGAGTCAAGACCAGAAAAAATAAATCGATGAATTTTCCGCTTATGAAACGGACTGCACATGTACTGGGTTCGGCCAATCAGCGTGGGACCTTGATGAGATATACTCCTGAGTCTTGCTTCTGCGTAGCACTGTTAATTTCAGTTATATCGCAACGGACGAGGTCCGGTCAATCATCTTGGGACTTTGATGAGATAATTCCCGAGTCTTTTGCTTCTGCGTAGCACAGTTTGTTTTCGCGGAAACCCTGCCACGTACTTGCTGTTGTCTTTGCGCCCTTCTTTTGTGATCACCTCTATGCAGCCGCCCGCTCCGTTGACGATGTGTACCGGCGCAACGGGGCTCTCGTACACCATCCTGCTCGAAGAGGACGAAGTGCGCAAAGACTGCGGAGAGGCTCCGACACCATCGCCGCCGCCGTTCATGCCACTACCGCTAACGTCGTTGGGGTACGGCACATTGTCGAGAACCGGTAACGACCGCTCGAAGGCGTGCACGTGCCCGCTGAGGTACATGTCGACCTTGTTCTTCTCGAAAATGGGCTCGAACGCCTTTCGTATTCTGCGTGGGGTCAATGACAGCGGTAACCGGGGGCTCAAGGTTTAACTGTTGGAGAAAGTGATGAACACAGAACGAAAAAAAAAACTATGCAAGGCATTGAACAGCAGGAAGGTGCTTACGACTAGTGCCACGCGTGGTTGAGGAAAACAATTGTTTGACCCGTGATGCTGCACGTATTGGTGCCAGCCGGTTGACATGAACACGTTCGCCACAGAAAAGCTGGCGCCTGGCCATCACACACTGCTGATCCTACCTGCTACCACCCAACCCAAACAGCGACGCTGCGCTACTTGTTGAGCTTTAGAGACCGCTGACGGGGCGAACAAAGAAAAACAAAACGCGCATTCGAACCAAGGGTGTTTGCGGTGTAACGCTTTACCGGTTGGAATGGCCGAAAGAAGTCAGGCCTTCGCTGTCGGACTTCTCCGTGGAGTACATCGGACGGTGGCCCGCAACGACGATCCAAGGCCGGACGTCGCGTTCCTGGTGCGCTGCAGCGAGGTCCTACAGTCGCAGACAAGAGCGGGGAAATATAAACAAGAAGTAGGAGGCAGGGGTATTGACAGGTTAGAGGCTAGGGTAGACCCCATGCAAAAAAAATACATCGGCAGGATTGAGGTATGACGGCAAACAGCACCAGCACCAGCACCAGCAGGAGCAGCTTCAGCAACCCATCACGCATGGGAGACGTCGCCCTCGCTGCCACCTCCGCCAGCGCCTACTGAGCCCCTTGCGTCGTCGTCCACACCGGCCTCCTTAGCTCAAAGTCTTCGTCTAGCCAAACCAAATTAGTCCATGTACCAATCGCGATCTCCTGGTTCTAGCCATAACACAAGCCTTCCCTGCCCCGTTCCGTCACGGTTCCTTTGCCATAGGCGTTCACCGATTAGGTCCACTATGGCTATCCCGGTTGCCCCGGTGCTCTAGTGGTATCCACGTAGACCGCTAGTCGCAGACGTCGTGGGTGCAAATCCCCATGGGGTGATAAAATTTGCAAAATATGCGGGTGAAAGCGGAATGTAGCTGAAAAAGCTCTCGTCAGTACCTCACTTCAACGCTAGCACCGTTGACGAGGGTAATGGACGGCTGGCCCCTTCTCGCGATAGAAATAAAATGAGGGGACCGTCGCCATGATAAATACGACGAAAACACAACACACACACTATAGCTTTGGAAACTGCCCTTCGGGCATGCTGCCAACCAGCCAAGGGCCGGGACATTGTGGCCCGCCTCCCTTCAACAGCTATCGTTTGAGAAAAGTATTAACCACCCGATAGGCCGGACTCTGTACAAAGGCTATCATTCAGGACTGCCTTTGATCATTTCCGGAACTGTGTGGCCGGCCTCGTCCAGCGTCCTCGTTCGGGGCTTAATGCTCGAGACGGATTTTCAGTCCCCCCTCCCGTCTCTCCCCACTCCCCAAAACACATGACTTTAACCGTGATTTTTTCCCAACCGCAACCAAACCGCCGGACGACAAGCACCTTCAACAACGTTCCCCGCAGCTACCATTCACAAACACGAACGGGTGTGCAAGCGGCAGCACGAGCAAGGCGCTCCCTTCTGCCCCTCTCCCTCTCCCTTTCCCTCCCTCCCTCCCTCCCTCCCTCCCCTCTTTTACCTGCTCCAGCCAAGCGGCCTGGTCCCCGAACCCCCCGTTCCCGTGCTCGAACCCCACCCAGTGCAGGTGGTCCCCTCCCGCTCCCTCGAAGTCCGTTTCCGTGTCCACGACTACGAAGTGGACGGGGCCGACGTTGAACGAGTACCACATGGACACCCCGTGATCCGCGCCGCTCTCTATGGACGGCATCCGGAAGCGCGCGTTGAAGGCGGCGAAGTTGCTCAGCGCCTTGCGTGAAACAAACGAGGGGCCGCGGTGCGGGAGGTGGGGGGGGGGGGGCAAACAGTTGCGGTATGATAGCTCGCCTCCTTCATGGAAACCTTCCAAAAGACCGTTCTGGTGTGTTGAAGGCCTTCCGTGTTGGTGGTCGTTCTGGGGCCCTCGCCGCCTGGACAACTAAAAAAAAAGTGATCGTATTTTATCGCACCAATCGAGTACGGGTGGGGCCACGAGACACGCGAATCCCCACGAAAATTACCCGAAAAAAAAATACGACATTCGGACTTCAACACCAAGCTGATGATCGACAACCGTGCACCACACAGTCGCACGAACAACATGTTCTTCGGCAGACGTCAGCATGCACGTGTGTGCAGGCGTGCAAAAAAAGGTGACGGCAAACAACCTCACGTTGAGTCTCCGCGGAGAGGAGAGGCACGCCGGGCTGTGGCACTCAGCCTCGTGGTTCCCTGGCACGACCATGTAAGGGACCTTGGCGGCAAACTCGTGGGAAGCCCTGTGCCAGCAAGCGGCGGGACAAACAAAAAATACGGAAGGTTGTACGAATGTGCAGGTGGACTCATGGCCAAAGCCACAAGGCTGCATGTAGTGCCGCCAAGAACAAGAACAGTGTGGTTACCTGCACGAAAGGTAGTTAGTCCTGCTGTGTACCTTGAAGCAAGTTTTGTTGTTTCGCTCTCCTAGTGTGCAGCCAATGCAGTGGTGCCATTTGCAGCGGCCACGAAACGGCAACGCCTGGTGACGAGGGCAGGACACCGCAAACGACAACAGAAACAGTAGATACAACCGTCCCAGCGATGAAAGACGAATCACTTGGCACGCTATCGTACCTCCGCCCCTTTTGCTAAATCCAGCCGACCGCTGTGCGTACCACAGCGACCGAAAAACGATGCGATAACGACGCCTGAACCAGAGACGGAAGCAAGCAAAGCTCAACCTTGTCCCTTCCTCCTTCCTCCCCTCCGGAGTGACTGCCCGCAAACTACCATCGTTGTTCCTGCGCCTCTGCCCCCAACCCCATCCTCTGTCCCCAACCCCGTCCTTCAGCGTGACCACCACCAGACGGAAGCTTGTCAACCTCTTCCTGCCGCAAGATTGTACCCACGCACCACCCTCTTGACAAGAGCCACACGTACTCATTTCCAAAACACAAGCAGGCAAGGTTCTCGACTCCCGCCCTCCTGCTTGACCGCCGCCAGACGAAAGCTTCTAGACCTCGTCCCACAGTATGATTGTGTCCTCGCACCAACCTCTGGACAAAAAAGCCTGACGTGTTGGTTTCCGCCAAATCAAGCCCGAAAGTTTATCAACTCCCTCGGGTCGTGCACACCTTCTCATGAAAGCATCCCACTTGTCTTCGTAGCCAAATGACCAAGGCCGCTCCAAAAAGGCATCGTCAGCGTCTTGGTTGGAACGGAACGCAATTTGTCGGTCACACGAGAGTTGGGGCACGATGGGGAAGAGAAGTAAGTACTCTCATCTGAGTACACCAAAGGCAAAAAAAAAAAACTGTACGAGGTGCAACACAACAATAAAAAAGACTAACACACACCACCCTTTTATTGATGTTAAGACAACAACAACAACAACAACAACAACAACAACAACACCACCCACTCATGAGAGCGCTCTGTTCCGCGATCTACCTTGGCGAGGAATTGCATCATCCGTCATGTACGGCCAGTTTTTTTCTGCCAGCTTGTTCGTCTACGGTATTTACGCATCGCGCGATTGTCCAGCCCCTCTCCAACGAACGACGAGAAGAACATGGCATGCGTCAACCAACGGACTGAGGGCATGGATGAAGAAGAGCCAGCACGAAGGGAAGCGTGAACGTCAACAAACTCGCCCGCAAGAAAAACAATCATTTTCGCCCCTCTACTCTTCCCCCCCCCCAATCCCATCGGCGTCGAAAGCTGATGGTTCAAGACTTGCGGCCTGGGTCTGAGCCACAAACACTCATTTGCTGCTCGCTGAACACATGCCAACATCTCGTGAAAGGCTCGGAGAAAACAATAGCCCGAAGTTAGACACAGATAGATAAGACAGCTCCCCACCGAAGCGCGGGTCACGGCGCCTCCATACTCATATTCAACAGAAGCAGCATATTCCTGTGCTACCCAAAGAAAAAGCGCTGTAGTACAACAAGCGATTCAAACCCCATGAGCCTCTCTCACATCCGATGTCGCCCAGGTGCAGAACAAAATCGACCTCGCCGTCCTCCACAAGCCGGTGCAGGCGGTCGAACGTGGCGCCGCCGTTCACCAGACCCAGGTCGCCGACAACCGCCACGGACACGGGCCGGTCCCACGGGCCGTCCCCTTCCCACCTGCGGTGTGGATTGGATGGGACAATCAACAGCGGTAAACATCAAAGAAACAATAGCAGCAGCGGCAGCAACAACAGCAACGACGACGACGGCGACCCCCCATGACAACGGCGACATTGGTGACGAAGGTGAAAGTCGAGGGGAGCGGGAAGAATGGGAAAAACGGAGGACTGCCTCCACGAAAAAGAAAATAACATTTTGACGAGAAACGACCAGACAGGGGGGCCGCAGACCCTAAACCATACACCGACTTAGCCGATTCAATACTACGTCCAGCATGTTTGCTTAAGTAAAAATCACTGCATAGACTACTGAACACAGGGAAGGCGTTTCTTTTTTGTTGTTGGGGGGGGAGGGGGCACTGCGGATTGTATCGTTGGCCGGAGCAACTATAGTCGCTCGAGGGTCCCTTTTCGTGCAGGCCGCCACTACGCTACATAGATATTCATATTTATTTTTTCTCCCATCTATAGACTCTGTCGTCTGCCCCTCTGGCCCCTATCCTCCACTTCTACTAGCTAGACGACCCAACCGAAGTCACATAGTAGGGGGGGGCCGGACCCCCTCCTGCGGTTCCTGCCTGAGGTATTTTTATCGCGAGAAGGGTACAGCAATCCCTTCCCTCGCGACTTACGAAGTCGATTATGGTTTNGACTATGGTTTACTAACAACGAGCTTTGCAGCGCGTCGCTTTCATCCTCGACCAGGATTTATTTGGTGAGAAAAAAACTCACTCTGCCGCGACTCGAAGCCATGACCTGGCCCTTTGCAGGCTGCGAGCTTACTCGCTAGACCACCGGGGCGACCGGTACTGGTCACCCCACGACTACCCTGACCCCGATACTGCTGTAACCACGAGACAGACACGTAGACCACGTGCCGACAAAAGCTTGTGGCATGAGCCAAGGATCGTTCTCCTCTACATCTCGAGCGATACATACAGAACAAGCCGCTGTTCCATGCATACGGCCTGGACTAATCATCTAGTGCTCGAAAGCAGAGGCTCCGGGAAGTGTGAGGGTTGGGCCCGGCAAAAAAAAGAAGAACGCCACGCTCTGAGTCCGAGAAAAACGCGCCCCGCACCGTTCTGTCTAGACTACTGCAGCCACGAAGCATTCCGCAATGAATGTTGCGAGAGAATCTGAAGTACAACCACATCTCAGAATACCCCCATCCTACAATTTCAGCTTTTGCCCTGTTGGCGACCATCGGAGAACATTCGTGGAAAAATCCAAAAATCGGTTCCCACCTTTCAGGTTCCGGTGCCGTCACGAAGGACGAAACTCCGGACCACTTTCCGCCTTCCGTAACCACAGCCGCCGTCACCACCCCGTCGCCCCCGCTGTCACCACCACCCCGCACTCCCACCGTTCCCACCGTAGCTTCCGCCGCCTCCGCCGACGTGGAGCCAATCTCAGACGAGACAGAACCGTCCGAACCCAAAGTTGGCCCTGAATACAACCCCCCGCCGGCGCCGCCAACGGACAAGTCTAGCGTTGGAGGGCGGCCCTCAGGGGCACCTTCGCCGCCGCCGCCACCCCCTCCGGCACCGCCACCTGTCGTTGCCGCCGCCGCCGCCGCCGGAGAAGACGGGTTGCCGCAGCGGTAGAAGAACCGGGTGCCCGGAGCGAGGTCTTCGAGGGGTGCCCTGTGGTGGACCGTGTCCAGGTAGCGGACGGAGCTGCCGTGCGCCGTCAGGTTAAGCCTGGGAGTTGGTGGACGGGGGGGGGGCGGAAGGACAAGAAAGGGTTCAGGGGGGGGGTGGTTGGTTACCTGTCCGGTTGGCTATAGCGTTGAGCTACTTACGCCTTGTACTGTGGTTGTTAGAGTGAAGCTGTGAGATTTTTTTTTTACTAACACAGAGCGGTTCTACAATCAACGACCGCCTTTGCGAAAAGTTAAGTGTTATGAGGAAAATATAACAGGAAGGGGGTACCACAGCCTGTTCCCTGACAGTAACTCAACTCCCCCCTTTGTACGTTTATCCAACATGTTTCCGTAACACAAAACCCTCCGAAGGCTACTGGCAATAAACAAAATTAGTGCGTATCGTCGTAGTGTATAGAAGTGCGCGATTCGACGTCAAACCACTCACTCGTCCCTGCTCAGCCCGTACTCCACCACAGGAGGGGCTTCGCCCGCCGCAGTGGTCCACACCACCGTCACCCCCGTTGGGTTCCCCTCTGCGTCGACCCCGCCGTACGCGAGGTGCACCTAAACCAAGCAAAACAAGCAACAACATAAAATCGTCGGTGGGAAAAACGTTTAGACTAGTTTGCATGGGTTTTTTTTTCTTCGCCCTCACATTTAATCAGCGCTCACACACAGCAGTTCTGCAGTGTGTAGAGCTAGTTCGTATCCGTGGTCACATCACCCAGAAGGGTTGTTCCTCCCCGTATAGGAGCTCGTGGAAGAGCTAGCTCCTATCCGTGATCAGTCACAAAGAAGGGTTATTCCTCCCCATGAGGTCTCCTATCCACCCCTCCTGCGGCGCTTGCCTTCGGCATATCATATGGGATGCGCACTGAAAAAGAGAACCCGCCAAGAAAAGGGGTGGCGTCGGCTGTATTCGTTCGGAACTTGCTCAACAACTCGAAACGAACGCCTCGTTGCCCTCTGTTGGTCGGAAGGTACCGTAGTCCCTGTTGAGCAGCAACGGACGGCTGGAAGGGGGGTGTCGTGGCCGTGGTGTGTGTGTGTTGTCCTTGGGTTCCTGTCATACATGACGAAACAAGACCCGGCTAGTACTAGTCATGTATATGACACTAAAGTATCATACTTCATATTACGGTGATTCTACTTGCCTGTGTGACGACTCCATATCGTCGCATCAGAGAACGTACGTTGCTTCGACGTGCCATGGGTCGTGCTGTTTGAAATTGTAGGAATGTTTCAATACTAAAGAACAACAAAGAGTGGGCCCCTGTGATGCATGGTTCGGAGAGACCGCAGCGTGAAACGACCTTCCACGAACCTGTTCCGGCCCCTGAGAGCCCGTCTTCGCCGCCTCCGCGTCATAGCACCCCTCCACGCACCACGCCTGCCACTGGAAATACCAGGCGATCTTGAAGCTTCCCCACGCCACGACCAGGCAGAGGCAGGCGACCAACAAGCACCGGCTGCCGAGGCAGCAGCGGACACGACGGCGTCGTGGCCTCTTGATTGCCGGCGTCTTACCAGTCGGCGGCCCCAGCTTGTTTCCATTGCCACCAATGCTGTCGTCATCGCACTCGGAGTCGCTCTCGGCGTAGCGGCAGGAACAGGTCCGAGCATGACGGTGGCCGTGTTGCGACGGCGTCGGGGGTGTCGGTCGCGGAGGCGGCGGCGATGACCCCCCGTACCGGTAGTCGACGCCGCCGCAGTCGTTGTTGTCGTTGATGACGCCACCCACGCAGCCGCTAATAGGTCCTCCTAGAGTCTTTCTTGTCGGACGTTTTCTACTGCTGTGGCAGCTGCATTCGCCGCCGATGCCGTGGGACGAAGCGACGCTTAGCGGCGGAGTGGCCGGGGGAGTGGCCTTGCGGAAAGAAGACCCCTTGGTTTACAGGTGACGAGGAGCGCGCGCAAAAAATGAAGAGGATGGTTGCTGTCGATCGGATATACAGACCCGTGGGAATGCCCATGGGCGGCCCAATAAGTGCTCATGAAGTGCCCACCGTGAGCACTTCAACCTAGAACTTCGCCACCGGCATGGCCACCTAGAACTTAACCACCTGCACATCAACCTAGAACTTCGCTACTAGCGCCAACCTAGCACGTATCGTGTGGGCTTGGGAACAGGGTTGGGGTTGATCGAGGTAAGGTTATATTTGCCGCTATAGTGCCCGTTCCAAAGCAGATAATCTATTGCTTAGGAGTTCCCGGTTCCGGTTGAAGGGCTCTCATTGGCCGCCCATGGGCTTCCCAACCATGGGTCAAACATGGGTCAAACACGGGCAACAAAGGGCCCATGGGTATTCTAGCAAAACTGTACATGGAAAGGGTGGGAAACCCGTAGAAACGGAGGCTTAAAATTTCACGAAACGCAAGAAAAATAGGTCTGAGAAACATGAACAGCTAGCTCATCGGCGGATCTCGATCCTACACTAAACTGTGGTACATAAGTGACACACCGGTGGTGCGGATAGCCTCGACCCTCGACCCTCGAGCCGAACTTGACGCTCCTGTCGCGATCAGGGCCGGTCTTTTGTTCGTGTTTTCCACATTATCGGTCTGACTCTCTTCGTAGTGAGTGAAGAACCCTTAGACTTCTTGTAATGGATTGAGTGTACACTTTATGAATGTTTAGAAGTCAGAAAGATAGTCGGGGTTGTGCCTCCCATGCGAGAACATAATGAAAGAACCAACAAATAATACTAATAGGGAAACGGACAAAAGTGGGTATACCCACGCCATTCTCGGACAAAAGTGGGTGCTCGAAAATCCAGCGCGCGCACCCTCCCTGGGCGACCCCCAACCGACTCAAAACCCCATTCTGACACCTGCGCGACACAGCCAGGGACCATACACAGCACGGGCATCGATTTTTTCCCACTTTCAGGCACACACCTTTGGCCCTAATACCGCCGAGGCGCGCAGGGCCTCACCAGAATGCCCACTTATGTCCGACATCGCGGTGGGTATACCCAGAGACGTCTACTAATTATTTCATGTACCCACTTGTGTCTGTATTTTGACCCACTTTCGTCCAAATTGTACCCACTTTTGTCCACTTCCGGACTGCGGAAATCGAGCGGAAATCGACCTCCACGTCACCGCACGGCAGGACATCGAATAGCCTCGGAACGTCTCAGAACCTCCCAACACCGTCCGTACCCATGGCATATTTCCTATCCATGGCTGCCGACTGCGGGCCGACTGCGGGATATCGGGTCCGATTTTCACTCCGTATATACATACATGTAGTGCATATGAATACCCTTTTAACATCACTTAGTTGCGTGGAAAACTGCCTCGATATGCTGCTGCTGCCCTCACGAGTCGGTGTGCACTCGTAGTGAGTGGTGGTTGGTGTTTTTCTTTTGTGGCGCGTGTGTGTTTTTATTATTAGCATCGACCGCGCTAACCGGCTGACCAATGAAAAGACGTCAGTCTTAGTGCGGTTGAAAACACAAAACACTTCTTCGTGTGTGTGTGTAGCTGTATGCGCGTCTTTTTGTTCTGTATGCGCGCCCGTTGGTTTTGTTGTCCGTTGTGTGTTACGCATTTATTTGTGGCGTGCCGTCAGTGCGCTGCTTGCCGGGCTTGCCGCGGGTATCTTCCCGTGCCGGTACCGAAGGGGTCTGGCATGTTCCTGACGTGTTCCTCCGCGGTCGGTCCGCAGTCGGCAGCCATGGATAGGAAATATGCCATGGATACGGTGTTGGGAGGTTCTGAGACGTTCCAAGGCTATTCGATGTCCTGCCGTGCGGTGACGTGGAGGTCGATTTCCGCTCGATTTCCGCAGTCCGTAAGTGGACAAAAGTGGGTACAATTTGGACGAATCTGCAGTCGACCCCGCTTTAAGGACGCTCGCGTGAAGGACACTCCCCGCTGAAAGAAAATTTGTTAAGCTGAGCACCGGGGGCCCGGCAGAATATACGAAAATGGGGTACCGCCTTTTTTCTGCTGCGTACCCCCCCTTTTGTGTCCTGCGGGCCTGCAGGCCGCTCTTTGCACGAACCACGCACCACAGTGAGTGCAGAAGTAGCGACGCACAGACAGCAGAAGCAGCGAGCGGTCTGCTGCTGCAGCTGCAACAGGGTGTTGGTATGGATAGATTCCTCCCATCTACCGGCGGTCCATCTGATGCCGCCAAAAAAAGAGTCGTGCATAACCTCGTCCCTCACCGAGGGCGAGGTGATCTCTCGCTTGGAGGACGTTCGATCCTACAGATAGCGCCTGCAGTTAATAAACATCAAAATCGGTTCGAGCCCTTCTTTTGGGTCGAAGTACCGGCCCAAGTCGTCCATTTCGTAAAAAGTCCATTCTTCGTCCTTTGGACTGTCGCATCCTCCCGATTCTCTTATTCCTCAGACTACAAGTACTTCGTATTTTCTTTTTTCTGTTTTTTTATCTCTGAGGACAATCCACATCATCAAGCCCTCAAGAGAGGTGGTGGAGAGTGTCATCAAACCCGTACAACAGCGGGGAGCATAAGGTTATCCGCGATGTGTGGCGTACTACAGTACAGCACTCACTGTGAACAGCAGGGGCGCGCGGGGGGGGGAGGGGGCGTGACTCTGCCCCCTACAAAAAAAAATGCACTTCTGTTCAGCTTGGGAGGGGGTTGGGAGCACCGCAGATTTCTGATTTCATGGGGGTATCGCACCATCACGTTTCTTATTGCGGCATTCTTACGTTGTGGCCGAGATTGAGCCATTTTTCTCGATGCTTTCGAAATTGGTCATTATTATTTTGCGTACCCCCTTCGCTCGCCAAGGGGGAGGGGAGAAGAGAGGAGACCAGGCAGGGCAACACCACACACGCCCCCGGTCTACTCCTTACGATCAGTATAAACATCAGCCACCCAACAGACAGAGACATATAAACTCTAGCCATGTTTCTTTTAGCCCTTTTTGCTTATTTTTCGTACAAAGTTGAGCCTTTTTTCTCAACAGAATTTTCCTCAACAGAATTTTTCTCAACAGAATTTTTCTCAACAGAATTTTTCTTAACTGCGGGCGCTATCTGAATTTGTACGCGAAGGAAAGGGGTGGCGAGTACCGTGAGACGCAGTACCTTCCTTCGAAGACCGTTCATTCGTTTACTCATGAAACTCAACAGAGCCGTGGAGCGAAGCCGCGGGGGGAGATTCAGGGAACTCTTCGCGATATGTGTAAGGAAAAGTCATCAGGGTAGCTTTTGGTCTCCACCGGGACAGTGATATGTACTGGTGTTCCTCGGCGCGACGCTGAAATACGCTCGTTTCCTGTTGTTTCACAACAATGAGATAAATATATGTCTACTTGGACTTTCCTCCTCCTTCCGCTGCCGGCTATGCAGTACATACATTAGTTGGCCATGTACAAACTGGTAAATAGTTGTTTTCAACACGTCCCTGACTGCTGTACATCTCATTTCAAGTATTGTAAATATGTTCGACGTCAACAAACGGTTGCCAGTCGTCTCGGCGATGCTGACTTTCAAACCACCCCCTTCCTTAGCAAAAGACGCGTAGTTTGAAGTATAGCATGCCTCCATTGGCCCCGGGGATGGTGAGCTATCGCCCCCTGAATTTTAAGGACGCAACTCCGCGTTAAGGACGCTTTTTTTTTCAGGAAAAACCATGTGCGTTCTCAAAGCGGGGTCGACTGTGGGTCAAAATACAGACACAAGTGGGTACATGAAATAATTAGTAGACGCCGCTGGGTATACCCACCGCAATGTCGGACAGAAGTGGGCACTTTGGTGAGGCCGTGCGCGCCTCGGCGGTATTAGGGCCAACGGTATGCCTGAAAGTGGGAAAAAATCGATGCCCGTGCTGTGTATGGTCCCTGGCTGTGTCGCGCAGGTGTCAGAATGGGGTTTTGAGTCGGTTGGGAAAAAATATTTTCTATGAACCTCAACTAAATTTTCTTTTTCTACATTTATTAAAAGCGCTAAATCTACATCTTTTGATTTTGCTATAGAACCTCTTTTCCATTTTATAAAATTTATATTAGAATCTTGCCTAAAACGAGATTGCATTGAAACTTCATTACCAATAAAAAGAATTTTTCCTTCACTAGCTATTATATTTTTTAAGACTTCTATCGTTGCACGAATACCATATAAACTTTTTTCAAGATCATAAAAATAATAAATATTTCGTTTACCTAAAAGAAAAGGGTGCAAGGTTTTTGAAATTGGAGAATACTCATTCCGTGGAAAAGNCCTTTAAAAGGATTTTCTTTTCTTACTTTAAGCCAAAAAAATATATTTTCCTAAAACAAAAAGTTTAAAAAGTTCGTTCCAAAATCTTCTGGCCAAGTCAACTCCCAGGACGTGACGGGCGGTCGCCTATGGAGGGCGCGCGCGCTGGATTTTCGAGTACCCACTTTTGTCCATTTCCTATACTATTACTACTGTAACAAAAAAAAAAGGACGAGCGGTCCCCTCAGTCGTTTCTTGCAATATACCACGGCACTTCTACAAATATAGCAACTGCGTGACGCCGCTGGGTGTGAAACACATTCGAGACCATCTTCGCGTAAACTACAATGTATTTGTTATGCTCATGAATCTGGAATTATTATTATTTTGAAGTCATGGAACCCCACGACTTCATCACGCAACCCGGGTTTACCATAGGGTTTCCCGCTCGGTCACCTGAAGCCTTGTGTCTAAAGTAGACCGCGGTAACCTCTACAGCAGCTCCCCGTTTCGTCTCACAGGAGCAGCTGCAGTGTGCCCTCTTCCTGTAGCTTGCTACTTCTGCGAACAAGTGTACTCCACCACGTCACCACATCTCTCTTCTGGTACCCTTTCCTCCTCAGAAACTTCCCCGCTAATTCTTGTTTACTTGCCACTGTACGATTCAGTCCCGCGCCACAAACCCCAGATTTCCTTCGTTCAATCTTACACTTTTTTCAGAAACACGCGTTTCATCACACTACAACACAGCAGATTTTGTGAGCAGACACTTGCCAGATTCTCGAATGGCAGGTTGCCCATGAATCAAGGTAAGTCATGCCAACAAGAGTCATGTTTCCTGGTTCTAAAGATCAGCACATAAATGTGTCGAAAATCATCTTGCGTGCTTCTTAGTCTTTCTCGGTTCTACTGCTCAACTACTGGCCACGGTCACCGGCGCATTTGATGGCGGCGCATAGCATATTCCAGCGCGCAGGCATAACACGGAGCTACCGCATTTGATTCCCCGCGTTCATTTGACCTGTATTTTGTGTAAAATCATGTTCCTGGAAATGACGACAGCAGCAGCCTTCACAGCAGTACTCGAGCACTTGTGGTGCTTTGTTAAGGTGTACACCCACTCACCCGCATAACCTTCAATGTAGATACGCCTCCAGGAAGGGAGCTGCTGCTGCTGCTGCTGCTGCTGCTACCTCCACCGCTGCTGCTGCTGCTAAAGGTGCTGTGGTTGCTGGCGGTTGTCAGCTCCAACTCAACGTCATTTTGTCTGTTGGACGACTTCGAGGGCTCGCCGCCATAGGTGGTGAGTTGAGATGATGCCGCTCGAAGCCCAACCATCTGGACCCTTGCGCTCCCCACTGGGAAGTTAGTCGCTCCAAGCCCCGTAGAAGGCAGCTTCTGTCAGCTCGCAGTCCCCCGTGTGTAAGCTGGTGTCCGTATACCTAGGCCCCCCGGATCAGGATCCTCCGCACTTGCGTGTGTGCACGTGGGGAAGCAAACGATACGCGGACCTCAATTGAAAGCAAACGACGGCAGCGACACCGTCGACACAAGCGGACAACGAAACTCGGTGCACTTCCCTCTCTTGTGAGGTATTGGGCTGTCAGAGCGCGTTGCCCAGGCGGCCGGGGGGGCGCGTGGTGGTGGGAAGGTTGGCGCTATTTGTCCGAGGTTCGAGATTCCCGTATCAATAGGTGAGATGCCGGCCAGATTTTTTTTTATTTTGTTTTTTGAAAGTAAACATTACCTCACAGAAAGACCACCTGTCACCGGTTTGAGATGTAACCATCAGTTTTTTTCTGAATATGACACAATGAATCCATCTCTAGGAAAGAGTCCAAGACAGATTAGCGATGAATCCATAGCGTCAGTGAAGGCTACCTGTGTTTCCATGATTTCCCGAGCAGCACACAGCCACATCTCCCCCGTGGGTAACATTTTTTAAAACCTCGAATATGCGATGCGGATGCGGCGTGAAACCTCGAATCTGCGATGCGGATGCAGATGCGGCGTGACTTTTTTCAGGAAAAACGCCTCCTCTAGAAAATGTAAGGAAACGGCTGACATGCTGTGCCTTTTTTTTTTAGTCTTCACTTCAAGTCAGAGCTCACAGCACTGGTGCCGCTCCAACCCGTGGTCACACAGAAGAGCCCCTCTCTACCCTCCCCTCCTGCGGCACTTTGCCTTCGATTTTTAATGCGAGAAGAGTTCATCACTCTCTTCCCTCTGTGTACACACGAACTAGCGCTATTCACTAGGCCAGGAGCGGAAGCGAGAGAAAAACTCACTGCTGTGCAAGAAAAGCTCGCTTACGCCGGGATTCGAACCCCTGACCTGACCTCTAAAAGGCTTCGAGGATACCAACTAGACCAACGGGGCGACCTACGCAGTCTCGAAGCAGTTCACGCCGCGAAGAGGACTCTGCGGTCACTCTCCACGTTCTGCATGCGTTTGAATTCGTCCGATCTGTTCATGGCGCCAGTCTACTTTGTACGTGGTACACCTTTCGTAATACTAGTATTATTAGGTAAGGCCGTTGTGACGAAGAAACGACAGTCAATGTGTTTCCACCGCTTCGCTTGTGGTGCTTGATTCCTTCAACATTATTGCAAGGCGAGAGGTGCCAACGCCCCCTTCCACATGAAGTCTGTCCGTGCTTGAAATTCATCTCGCATGTTATTACGCATGTAGCAATTAATCTATCTGAAGAGAAGCGAGAGTGTAGCGTTTTCTGGCTGTCATTCTTGTGGATTTGTGGCATGTCTACATCGGTCGTGGTGTGGGTGGTTTGATAGAGCCCGAACGTCTTGTACGATACGTAATGTACGGGGGAACGCTGTGTCGAGGGTGTCGCTGGCCTAAAGGTACTCTACAAGGCAGTATACTCGTAGAGTCTACCAGGGGCGCTTTGTGCCACACACCCGTGTTGGTATTAACTAGCTTGTTTTTTCTCGAACGCACTCTGCCCCCTGCGCACTGCGCACCCACTCCACTCCAATGCAACTCAACCACAGACTTGGCGTACCCCAACCGGACCTAGTCCGACACTGGTAACCTATTCAAAGCCAAACTAGCTCTATACCATGCCCCTTTCGAGTCCCAAAAGCAGAAAAAGCTTGCAGAAAACATCCTCAACGCATCATCCCATAAAATGGCCTCTTAACCATGGACTGAGACGTACATCGGATCATACTACTACAAGAGGGAGGCACTTGCCAATTGGGTGTTTAAATTCGCATTCCATGAAACTGGCGGGGATCCCAGAGAGCCACGTCGTTCTTATGCCCACGCCAGGTGTCCTCCTCATCTCATTCATACTGGTTCATACATGTTTCAAAAACTTTTTTCGCGGCCCCCCGCGGGATTATATTATTCGCTACTGCTGTACAACATAATCTTTTCCTTGCTGCCCCCCTCCAAAAAACAAACGAACGATGCCCTGGAAGTACTGGTACAACGCCCGCGATTGAACACGAATCACCCTGAATTTCTTAGGCCAGCCAACCTCCTTCCTTCATCAACACCGAATCTGCACAGTTGAAACTGCACAACATACCTGACTCACACGTGCATATTCGAAACTCGGAGAGACGTCCATATTCGAATCCCCCAGAGCTAAAAAAAACAAAAGTACACCCAACAACAAGCACCCGGCTGCGGGGAGCACGACCGGAAACTTGCATTACGATTCAAGACGGTGCACGAGCGCCACCTCTCGCTCTCATCGAGCCTCTCCACCCTGCGAGGAGGTTCCGCTTTCGAAGCAACAACGAGCGCGAACGCCGCAAACACACAACCACAGGGGTACTCTATGCTACTGCCGTGCCTGGGGGGAGAGACAACAAACAGACACGACACTCGGCGGTGAAGTCGCTGCAAACTTTCCTCTGCTAGACACAGCTCCTACACGCAGCATCTCGGTTTCTCCGAACAACGGGGAGGCAGCCGAAAGGCGGTACCTAGGCCACCGTCGGGTTAACCCTTACCCTAACCCTACGGTGGTACAACAAGTAGAGGCAAAAGAGGAAGAAAAGGTACTCTACATCATCCCCTCCGACCCAAACAACCGCAACCACGAGCTTCCCCTGTTCACCGTTGTCCCCGTTTGTCACAGTTGCCGCGCCGATGAGCCATTCGTGTCCGGGACCAGGGTGTTACTTAGTGCTCAGAGGGGGGGGGAATCGGAGTGAACTACATCGTCTAAGGTATTGGTATTACACCCTATTTATTGTATGGTCTCCTAGTCCGAAGCCGCTGCTGCGACTGGCAGCGGGCCATTCAGCATGCGGAACTGCGCCGTCCATCGTCCGGTTAAGGATATCATCGCACCGAGCAGGAAGCGACCAGCGACATCCACAAGAACACGAAGGAGCCACGGCCGAAAAAAAGAAAGCAGGGAAACGAGGGACGAGGGGGAAAAGGTTAGCAAGAGGTGGTCGAGAGCCTGCCTCTGGCAAAACGTACCGTCGGTTGGGCGCGCGCGTTTGGGTCAACCTGCCCGCACTGCTGTGTTTGTTGGCGACGGGAACACTGTGTTCTTGAGCATGGAATGCATGCACCCAAAAAAGCACCTGGGCCGTTCTCCCAACTAAGGGGGGGAAACGATAAACTCGCACCACCATTTCGAGGGCATCATTTGCTGCATCGTCCGACACTGATCATTTCCTTTACGCAATAGACAGCACCGACCTTCTGAAAAACAAAAACACCCCACGTCAGTATTTCAACGCAGCAGCAGCAGACCGCGCCGACTGACTCAAACGGAGAAAGCGCACTCACATCATTCAACGTCACAGACGAAAAAAGGTACGCAATACGACACATTCCGGCCACGGAGCGCCGATCACACGAGCTTGCGCCCCCCCCCCCCCCCCCCCCCCCCCCCCCCCCCCCCCCCCC